CTGGGCTAGCTCCTACTTTGGCAGCACTAGATATTAAAGTAAAAAAAAAAAAATTCTGTGATGGACCTTAAGTTTGAAATTAAAAGGAATAGACAAGTTTGCCCTACTTAAATTCTGTGGATCTAAGTAAATCAAAACATTTTACAGCAACAACTGCATATTCCTAACTGCTCTCCCTCCACCCCTGAGAAAACAGCACAACAAATAACCTTTACTAAATTCCAGTCAAATAAGCTGAAGCCCTCCAAGCAGGAAGTACATTTGCTTTAGATGCAAAATTCCTCCCATGTTTTTAGTTACTGACAACCATGAGTGAGACTTACAGAAAAGAACAACTCCCCAGTACAACTTATATCCACCAACACCCTTCCACTTATATGAATGTTCCCTTCATCCAACACATTATCAAAAACATATACATTTATCCTAATGCCAAATAAAAAATTCATGGATGCACATTTTTATAATAGCTTTCCAGAAGATGGGAAAATACTTAAAAGTCAAATTGTTCATTAAAATGCTTCATGAAAAGCATGTATTGCTCAGGCCTGAGCATTCTCAGATGTTTTCTGTCTTAAAAGCCATATTAACAACTAAAGTCAACAGTTCTAAAGGATATTTACCAGCTCAGATCAAATCTATTAATCACATTTTAGTAGCTATTCTGGGAATTCAAATCCCCAGACAACTTTAAAAATCCAACCCACAGAGTACCTTTAGCATTCAATACAGGATTTACAAATACAACCCCAGAGTATTTTCTGTAGGAAACTTCCTTCATTAATCCTTCTGAAGTGTTAAGACTTTTTACCAACATGGCACATTTCATCTACCACCATGCTGCAAAAGAGCTCTGTGAGCAATTACAGTTCTGTCTTCAGGGTGATTAATTCCCTTTAATTAAATGCCCTTGAAATACTACTGCTATGAATGTCATCAGATGCAGTCTTTGTTTGAAAATAAGATCAAGAAGGACAAAACAAAAGCAGAGCTAACTTTCTCAGCCCCAAGAAGCTCAGGAACCAGGTTTGAACTATTTTTCTTTAAATAATTTTCAGCTCTACAAAACTGAGATTCCCTTACATTTTAATTCCAAAAACTAAGTCCTTCAAAAATGCCATTTAAGGAATTACAATGTCTTTATTCAGATGAGAATGACCAAGGAGCTACAAAACAAAAGCAAGAACCAATAAACAAAACCGACAATTAACATAGCAATTGAGCCACGATTTGTTTCCTTCAGTGTCATGTCACCCCAGAATTCAGCTTGCATCATGGGTGCTGATTGTGTGTTGATTCATCTCATTCTGCCAGTCAAGACAAATCCAGACTTCAGAGATGTATCATATGACAAAGGCCACAGAAGTAAAACAGTGTCAGTCTTTAGAAACTTGTTCTCTATGGCTGATGTACCATTAAAACTAAGAACAGTACACCAGAAACAGATCCATTTATACTGGGAGGGGCAAATGAGTTCTAATGTGGTTTGCAGGATCACAGCATTTGCTGTACTTGGCAATTACTTCCAAGTTCTTAATTTGTATTTTAAAAGTCACATTTCTTTTTTCACAGGCCAAGGAGAACCATCTGAAGAAAAGTAGAGGAGGAAAAAGCAGCTTAAACACATAAGAACATGCATCAACTCCTGAGATACAGATCTAACCTCCCAGTGACTACAAAGAGAAGCCAGCTCACCCACCATGTCTGAAACTGTGTTAGGACTATAACCTGTGAATTACAGCTCCATAAATTGTAAGACTTCTGCAGCATCCTCTTCAGAAGATTCCACAAAAATGTTACAGGGATTTTTAGTCCAGATTTCACAGGTTACATTCTAGCCTATTTTGGATGTAGTTCAGGGTAATAATTTTCCTTGGAGAGTTCCAAGAATAACGGTATTTCTTGCTACTTGGCACCTTTTCGAAGCACAGACAGCAGCTCTCACAGCCAATTTCACTCCCCCCCCCCGAGACACGCATATTTGATTAGGTGATCCAGGGTCATTTACAGAAAGAGGATACCAATTTCAAAATGGTTCCATAACATTTAATTCTGCTGTTTTCTCAGGTTCTATACACTACACATACTTCATGCTTTCAGTTTCTTGCTAAGAAAATGTAACTACTGCCACTGAAAGTCATGTTTAATATCCTCTGCTTATTCTAAGGACTCACTGAGTTGGTTTTTGTTCTATCCTGACTTACATACAGGGGACTAATGTAGGAATACTTAAAGAACTGTACACAGCCTTGACCATTAAAAGTAGATGAAATCTGGACTCGCTAAAAAAACTCCACTGGGTAGCACACTTAGGATTGGTTATAAGGCATGCAGAGTAGCTGTATTAACCTATTCTCATTACAGTTGTGCTACTCCCATTCCCATTCAAACCTCAAAGCTGATCTTGCAAACTCTGAAAACAATCAGCCTCAGTTCGGCACTCCAAGACTGTTCTCAAATCTTCCAGCTGGGGCTAAGGCATAAACTGAGGTCATAGAATACCAAGTTAGAAGGGGAGCTCCAGCATCATCTTGTCCAAGCCTTCTTGGCAAAAACAAGATGTCCCAACACCCCATCCCACTGAATGTTAAAAGTGTCCAACGTTTGGGAATCCACCATTTCCCTGAGGAGATTATTCCAATGGCTGATTGTTAACAGCTGATAGGATGTAAACTTCCTGCAGATAACCAGGCTGTACTTAGGTGCTTTATCAATAGGATGATTTTCTGAATGTCTCCAAGATTAGAAAAATGCATGCCAGGAGCAATCCTGGCCTTGGGCAGGATGATGAAGCTCTTTCCAAACCAATGTTTTCACTGCATGCAAAGCAGACAGATATAACTGTTCACAAGACCAACAACTCAATTAACACAGATTGCAATGGGAAAAAGAATCTGAAATAGGGAGTTCCACAGCTCACTCCACCTCACAGTGGCAATTAACAATGGCATCATTGTTTTCTTCGATTATATATAAATTAAGTAGTTCTCAGAGTAGATTGCTTTATGAGGATTGTGTTTCCTATCCAAGCATATCTTAGAAATAAGCCAGCAAGCATCAGTATTTTTTCCCTGCTTAACGGTTCAGACTAATCCACACAGCGTTTAAAAGCTCTAGGGGGAGGCAGCACTGCTAATAGCAATAAGAGAAGGAACACCACTTCCCTGTTTGGGCCCACTGTAACAGGTTTTAGCATGTTGGTGTTTATTAGCCTCCTCTTCATGCAGGCAACACATTTTTGAAGGCAATAAAAATGTTATAAAAGACAGTGTCTCCATTCGGTATCTGTTTTTGAGACTTATCCTTGAAACATACAGTTTGGTATTACCTTTCTTTAAAGACAAACAACTTAAAACAATACATCTACAAATATAAAAATTAGCTTGAGCATGCATTTGCCTATTAAATAATGTACAGAAATGAGACAAAAAGCCATCGGACAAGGAAAATACTGATTTGTCAATAGTCCATAGATGTTAGCTAATCTAAATACTTAAAATATTTTCGCAGTTATGCAAAAAAAAAAACCCTTAAGTTCTTGTTTTATTCCTTCAGAAAACTATGTAGCATTTTATAACAACATCTGTCATAAATGGAAACTGTCCAAAAATATGTCCTTAAAAATAAAAGCTTCCACCTATAAGCACACCTCCTCAGATGAAAGGGACCACTGTAGTCTATAAGATTACCCATTAAGCACAGAGGAACAGCTTTTACAGTTCCCACTACAGAGTCATTAAACTGGTTATGTCAAAAAGTTGGTTTCTATTTTCTTAATTAAAAGGAAAAAAATCATGTCTGAGCAAAGAAAAAAATAGAAACAAAAAATTAAATATACTCTCTCAACAAAAATTGCACACAAAGCATTTCTTCTCCATAACTTTGCATCACCTGTTGTACCAGGTTTTATATTCTCATTAACTAGTAGTTTCAATATGTACAAATGCAAATATGTAAAGGACTATGAAGCACCAAGTTTTATTTTGGAAGGTGTCCGTAGCGGGGGGTTACGGGGAGTAGAAAGCACCAAGGAAAAGGCTCTGTGAGCGCAGAGCAGGGGCAGAGCATCTCCTGCTAAACCAGGACCACGGCTGGGAGCTCTCTCAGTGACCAGCTACCAGGACACGGAGCCCTTCGCTCAGGTGAGATGCGTGCTCCTGCAAATCCCGGATTTAACCAGCAGGGAACCAAATCAATCCAATACTAGAACCTCAAAGCTCGGAGGAGGCGTTTGTGCCCCGCACTGCTACCGGGACAGTGCGCGGGCAGGGCAAGAGCTGAGCGAGGCGCTGCCTCCGCCACGTGCTGGAACCGCACAGCTGAGCCCTACGTAAGAACCGGGAGAAATATGGGAAGGGAGAATAAAAGGAGAGGTAAAAAAAAAAAAAAAAAGAGAAAAGAAAGTGCTATCTGGAGCTCACGGGGGCTCAAAGACCACTGCGCTCCAGCCGGGTGAGCCCCCCTGGCTCGGTTCTCCAGAGCCCCAGCTGAGGGACGCCGGCCGGGCCGCCCCGCCCGCACCTTCCTCGCGCCCAGCGGCCCCCGCCTCCGGCCCGCGACCGCCACGCGCTGATTGGCGGCCGGGTGGCGCTGTAAAGCGGCCGGCGATTGGCGGCCGTAGGCGCCGCGCTGTAAGGCAGCCGGCGATTGGTGAGCGGGCGGGCGCGTGCGGGTGCTGCCCGGCTTTGTACAAGCGCGGCCCTTTAACAATGGGCGCGGCGCGCGGCGCCGCGTGATGGCGGCGGAGCCCCGGGGCCGCCGCGCCGCGCTCGGGTGTCCCGGGCCGCGCCCCGCCGCCTCCCCCGCGGCCGCCGCCGCCGCCACCACCATCACCACCTCCGCGACCCCCTTACCCGGCCGTGCCCCGCGGCGGGAGGGGGCGGCTTAACTAGCCGCACTTGTGCCCCGCATGGCGGCCAGCTGGGCCAGGGGGCCGAGGTCGCCCCGCGGCAGCTGATCGCGGTTAACCGGGGGCGAGCCAGAAAGGGGCGCGGGTTGCGCTGCCTGTCCCGCCCTCACCGAGTGCCGCTTCCTCCCCGGTGCCCGGGCCCGGGCGCCGTGCCGCGCCGCCGATGGAGCTGGAGGCGCAGTGGTGGACAGGACAGCTGGCGGCCGATATCCACCAAGCGCTTCGATACAAGGTAGCGTGGGGGGAACCGGACTGGGGGCGGCCCCGGCGCCTTTGTGAGGCTCCGGCCATCGGAGCCGCCGCGGGGACAGCGGGCGGAGGGCGCGTGTGGGGCGGCCCCGCTCGGCCGCCGGGGCTCGGCGGAGTTGGCTTTTGTGGACTCGGAACTCGCCGTGTGTTCCCTCCGTGGGCGCTGGGCCGTCTGTCCGCGGCCGTGGCAGCTGATCCGAGCGGCCGGACTGCGCTCCCGCTGCTCTCCGCACACGGGAAGGGCTCACGGTGTGCCCGGTGCTCTTCCCATGTTTGTGTGCGTCCAGGTTTAAACTCGGCAAACAGCGTTGTGATGTTATTGGAACGAAAAAGCCCTACCATCCTAACAAAAACCAGTGAAAGAAACGCTGGGTGCATTAAGAATAGTAGAGAATTTAAGCAATTGCTTAGAAGTTGCTTCGGCTGTCTCAGAGTTATTCTTCGGGACTGTTTTCATAAAGCGTATCTTAACACCGGGGATGAAAATCAGTTTACAGTGACTGAACCTACTAAAAACATGCTTTTGTTGCCTAATGGTACTCGATGAGCGGATTACTTTTCCCCGAGTCGTTACTGCTTTACTCTTTTCCGGTGATGGAGGGAAATAAGGGAAGGACAGAATCATTTATTTGCTACCACAATTATTTTTGCTAAAGCTACGTTATTGCTGTGAAAGGTGAATTAGAAAGCTTGTGGGGTTTTGTTTTTCACTTCAATAGCGCATTTCAAAACTTTGAATTTACATTAAAACTTTGAAAAATTTGTGTGACTTCATTCCAACTTGATGACTTTAACTTAAATGAATCAAGTTAATTTTCGCTGGAAATGTAATTGTACTCAAAATCCTACTTGAACACAGCATGTGGGTGCACAGTCTATCTCATAAATTTATTGATAGTAACAGAGGACAGCACTGTTGTTCTGCTGCATAAAAGAGGAGGTACTCGCTACTAGGCAGAAGTCTGGAGGGTTTCTTTTTTCCTACCAGTCCAAACTGTGTATTCAAAATAGATCATGGCACAGATTTTCCTAAATGTGGTGTTTCTAGGACCTTTGTTTTGAGGGGTCCTCCCCCCGAATCTGAGAGTGTGTGACCTTAACTAACTGCATTCGAGCACACTGTAATGAGTGTCAGTGTGACATCAATCAGACTGGGTCGGTGTTTTGACACACACATGAGGTGACTGTTGGTTCATGCACACCCCATTTCTCGTCCTAAGATTCAGCTGGCTGTTAAGGGTCTTTTCCTGGAGGCATCAGCAGGAGATTTGGCGGCTATAGAACATGCAAACACTTAAGTACAAAGTCTAGTTGCTCAGATTGAGCTGTAGCAAGAGAGGGGTTGAGTTAAACTATTGAACTTTGCATTGAAGCAACTGAGGAATACTTGCATGCCCTTGCTGTACAGCCTTTGCAGCGGAGGTAATACAACAGACATGGTAAAAGCTGAAGACACTCGGGCTGATTGCCCAAATGAAAGATGTTAAATTTTAAGTTGTTAATGTTGTGTAGAAAGAAAGTATTTTTTGGTTGTTCTGTAATACAGCAAATGGATTTTGTTCACTGAAAAGGGATTCTGAAATGACGGGAACAGAAGGGAGAAGGGAGAAATCCTTTGAAATTTCCGTTCAACTAAATTATGGTTTTAATAAAATTCCCTACTGCTGTCCATCTAGGAGCTGAAGCTGCCCTCTTACAAAGGCCAGTCTCCCCAGCTACACCTGAGAAGATACTTTGCAGACCTGATTGCCATTGTGAGCAACAGGTTCAGGCTCTGTCCTGCTGCACGACACCTGGCTGTGTATCTGCTGGACCTCTTCATGGACCGCTACGACATATCCACACAGCAACTGCACGTGGTTGCTCTTTCCTGTTTACTTTTAGCAAGTAAGTATGTGGCACCAAACTTTAACTAGACTAATAGATTCTACTGCCAAATGCAAGGCATGTCTTGGTGGGATAGAGCAGGTGGTGGAAACAAAGTAGTTCTAAAGGACAAGCAGTGCATATCAGTTTGGCCCAATTGGTAGAGCTGTTCTTTAGACTTGTTTTGACTTCTGTTGGCACCTGATGAAACTGAGGGTGGAAAAAACAAACTGTGATTAAAGACTGATGTTTATATTTGTAAACAAATTATTCTAATGTGAACTTTAAGCACTATGTTGTAGGAACAGAAAGACTGTCTTTCTAGGGGTATCTCAAAATAGGTACGTCTTGTGCTGGAAATGAGAAATTTGCATATCTGTGATAAAGAAATAAATTAATCATGAATGCACTACATTCTGCTGATGGTGCTGTATAGTTCTAGAATACTTCAGATTTTGTAAATGGCAATGTTAATTAAGCAAGCTAATGCTAACAAATCCTGTATTGTCACATATAAAATATAATGCAGGTAAAATACATTGGTGAATGCACAGTACTCTGAAGACAGAATTAATTACAAACATTCATTATGAACAGTGCTGCTTATATTGACCTCAGCTAGATTCTTGTGGCATGTATCCATTTTTCAACATTTGTGAACCCCTTTTCAATATCTCTGAAAATATATGGGTGCCATTTGCTGGGAGACCTGCTGGCACTAGTTCTTAAACCAGTAGATTTAGAGAAACTGGTCCTGACAGCAGAACTAACTGTTGGTTCGGTTTCTGCTGATCTGTTTCTCTGAATCTATTCTTATTTTCTCCAGTAAGGTTTCTAGGCCCTCTTTGCTACAAAACTGGAGTGCAGTGGTGTTGGACAGTTTTCTTCTTTTCACTGCATCCCATGTCCACCAATACAGCTATTCAGCAGAGCAGTTAAACCAGAAAAGGGTTATTTCAGATTCTTCTGAGGGTAGACTTTGACTAGGTGCCACCAGCCAGTAATCTTCTCTTGGCAAGGGATGTCGTGCTGAGTATGAAAACGTTGCCTCAGAAACCACTGTAATCCATTTAGGAAAATGGATTGGCTTTGAACTAATGCCGGATTTTCAAATTAAATTCATGTTCTGAAGAGAATTTCTTTTTTTGTTTTAAATGAACCTCTGCCATTGTTCATGGCAAGCTGCAAGTAGAGATCTGAAAGCCCGGAGTTTGCTTGCTCTTCTGAGAAGCAGTGTATGGGTTGGTTCAAAGAGAAGCAAAATGCTGGTTTAAACTTTTGCCCTGTGTAGCTTAAACAAGCAGTTTAATCAGTGGTCTAATAAGTTATGACACTGTGATATATCTGATAAGGTTAAAGAAGTAGTAAAAGAAATTATTATGTGACTCCTGAAGTTTTTATTTCTGTAATTACTGGAGTATGGGGAACAAAAACTGACAGACTGGCACTGGTCTTGGATTAAGTCCTACATAAGTACCTCCACTGTTGAAAAAAGTAAACGTTCACGTGTGTTCAGTCCTGCAAAACTCAAAGAATGTGCATTTACAACCTATCATGTAGTATTGAATAGAGAGTGTAAGATGGAAAGAATTTGCAGTGAAATTGAAATAGCACAACCATATGGCAAACGGTATGGAAATGTGACACTTGTTTCTCTTACGGGTTTTCTACATACATAATTTTACTTTAGGCTAAAAACATACAGGCCCAAAAAGTTAAAAGTCCAAGGAAGGTTGCAACAGTGGCAGAGGGGGTTTTCAGATGCACGTTGCTGAAATCCACTTGTTTGCCAGATCTCAAATATAAAACTGCACCTACTGTAGCAGGCATTAAAAGCAGCCAGGTTGGCTGGAGCTCTAGCTATGCTCTTAATGAGTTTTAATGAGTTTTAGATGCAAAAAGGGTGTGTGGGGGTGGGAGGGTGATTAAAGCCAAATGCTCTTGTGGTTTGCCAAGTCACATCAAAGTGGTATTTCACTGATGAAGGGGACACATTATACAATAATTTGGTGACAAAAACTTGCATATGTAATGTCAGTGATGTCCTAATATTCTGCTCTTGGCAGCTGGCTTCTGTGTGCCGGCATGGGAAAACCAACAGGAAACATGGCACTGCACAGTATCCTGCACAGTGTTAGACATTATCTGCTGAAATTAGCTTATTTTAGTGCATAACCGCTTTTGTCTCTAATAACTTAGTCCATTTGAGCTTTGCATCTGCAGGAAAATCTCAAATTTGTTTGACATAGGACAATTGAAATATGACCAACAAGACATTAGCTACAATCTATTTTATAGTTCATTTGTGCTGAACCTTTTTTTTCCTTCCTCTTTCTGTTCACCTGAAGGTAAATTTGAAGAAAAGGAAGACAGTGTTCCCAAACTTGAACAGTTGAACAGCTTGGGTTGTATGACTAACATGAATTTGGTACTAACAAAACAGAATTTGCTTCATATGGAGTTGTTGTTGCTAGAAACATTTCAGTGGAATTTGTGCCTCCCAACTGCTGCTCATTTCATCGACTATTATCTTTCTATTGCTGTCCATGAGACTGATCTTCATGATGGCTGGCCAATGGTTTGCTTAGAGAAGACTAAGTTATATATGGCAAAATATGCTGATTACTTTCTGGAAGTATCATTGCAAGGTGAGTTACAGATTTCAGATAATGACTTCTTTGTTCTCTTGGCACACAGTGTTAAACTTAAATAATTTTTTTTCTCGTTCTCTCTTTCTAGATCATGAATTTTTAAATTATGCCCCTTCTTTAGTTGCTACTGCATGTGTAGCTTCTTCAAGGATTATCTTGCGTCTCTCACCCACCTGGCCCACGCGGCTGCATCACCTGACTGCCTACTCCTGGGACTTCCTGGTGCCCTGTATTGAGCGACTCTTAATGTGAGTTAACACCAGTGGCTTTTTTAAAGCCTATTTATACATCTGTTATTATGCTTAATTGCTGCCAACAGAGCAGTTACATTTCTTTATAAATTTCTGTTCCTCTGTTCTAAAAATACTTATGTATTAGGGAACAAAATTTTGGTAGATACGTATTGTTAGGCAATAACTGTTTTTTCTTTAAGAGAAATCTTCAGATCTAATCTCTTTCCTGATCTTTCAACAAATAAACTTCTTCCTTGCATTTCCACTGAACATATGGGATGCTTTGAGCATCTTCAATAACTTGTTTCCAATCTCTCTACTCTGTTCTGAGAGCAAAGAGATAATGAAGAGTACCAAAGGCATAGGAGCATTTGTAGAGAAGACTGTATGCCTTGGAAGTGCAGGGCATGCTGCAAAGAGATTGTGGATCAAACGTGCAGACCGTTTGAGTGGCAGCTTTGGCAGGAGAAAATGACCAGGAGTTTGTGTCTATTTTTGCTGTATCCATTTTTGCTTTACAGCTGACATGAGATAAAAATGCCACTGAATGCCAAGTGAACCTTCCTGGGAAGGCATGTTACACAATCTGCTTTTCCTCTACAGAAATTTGTTCTTGCCCAAGTCTAACATAGCTGTGATCAGTAGAAGCACAGCTGTATCTGGAAGAACCACATCAGCCTTAGAAGTGTGACATTCTCACCCTTGATGGCCTCTGTTGGCTTGACTCCTGTAAAATGAAAGGAGTAGTACCTAAAGCGTGCAAGTGCTGTGGCAGAAGTGTTTTCAGTATTGCTCTGGAACAGAGGGAGGGCAGCATCAAAAAGTTACGAATGAAACGTGTAGGTGGCATCTGCTTAACCTCAGGATAGAATTGAGAAAGTGTGTCTAGGATACATTTCAGACAATTGTAAATCAAAGAGAATTCAGATGAGCTGTACTGGATAAGCTAGCAAAAAGGTGAAAGGAAAGGGGGGAAAAAAGTGGTTTTGCCCTCCAGAACAGGATCCAATGTGAATATACATATGATCTTTAAGTACTGTAATGTAGATATTACAAACCTTTCTGGTATCTTTAGAAACATTGTGCTCTGTTTAATTTAAATGAGGTAGAAGCAGCAAGTTCAGGTTCTGGTAATCTGGCAATTTATTGGCCTACTAAAGTACAGTAGCAAACTTTATTGCACTGTAATTCTAGATCCTGCTTTATTACATGTATTGTACTTTGCTTTTATCTGTGTTTATTGCTGTACAATGAAGTGAAATGCCGAAAAGAAAGACTGCACCCTAACCAAATTTTGAAACCTTAGGTGATTGTAAAGGGTAGCTAAAACTATTTTTTAAAGCATTGCAAGCTGTCAGATATTTGCACCATTTTTAGAGTGCATCTATTTTGATGCATTTTGTCTTTTCAATTTGTTCTAGTGCGCATGATAACGATGTGAAGGAAGCAAACAAGCAGAAAGGACAGCAAACGCAGTCTGCCCAGCACGCTGTGTTTCAGCCCCCAGCTCCAAGTGCCCAGCAGGCCAATGCTCAGGAGCACGTACCGCAGTATCTGCAGGCTCATCAGTCTTCCTTACAGTACCACCACGCAGCATCCCAGCAGCAAAGCTGCCAGCAGATATTATCATCCACTCACACAGCCTCCTACCCTCTCCAGACGTGCCCTGCTGCCTTACAGACCGGTGCTCAGGCTCGAGGCCACGTCCAGCCCGGCGCTGCCGTGTCGCTGGCTGTGCCGCTGGAAGTGAAGCCATGTATCAGTGTCTCCTACAACCGGACCTATCAAGTGAATGGACGATATTCCTGTATTACTCCCTGCTTTGAGAGGTGATAAGTACAGAACGGTTTTGTGCTTGTTTGTTTGGGGTGAAGAGTTGTGTGGAAAATGGTTTCATTTTTTTGTTAAACCTCAAAAAAATTTGAGGGCAAAAAATTGAATAAAAAAAGGTGTCTTCCCAGAAAAAAAAAAAGCAACTGGATTGGCAACTGGTACCACAGCTCAAATAACAACCTGCAAAAAGTTGCATGCAGACCATCCTCTGAAAAAGAATCTGTATGCTTGGGGATAATACATTCTGACTCTGACACCCAGAATATTCTGCTTCTAATGTGTGTCTGTGAAATACTACTCAAAAGAAGAGCAGCTGTGGACTAACTACAGACTTATCTTTTAATGAAGGAGATATGCAGTATTATTTTGAAGACATTTGTCATCCCACCATACAGTATTAACACTTATTTTATACTTACTGAAACTTAAGAATCCACTGAATGCCAGACTTCTACAGGTACATGGAGATCACAGGAAGAAACAAATCTCATGTGGCTGACTCCATATTCTTGCCCCTTTTTCACCACTTGTGTTGGTTATTTGCTTTAGGCTAACGCACATGAATTAACTGGTATTTTGGCTAGTTTTTCAAGTTTTGTACATTACAAGACAGACAATATATTTTTGTCTCTTTTATCCTTCCTATCTTTTTTGTGTTTAAAGTAACTCTTTCATACTAACTCAGGGACTTTTCTACTCATTACTCTGTGCTGCTGGTTTGTACACTAATGGGGTGTAACTCGGGGAAGGAATGCAGAGAGGGAAAAGACTATAGCAAGTGGAGTGGCTTTTCTTCAGGGCATCTATGCAGAGTACCAAAGGGATATCTTAGTGTTCACAGAATGTAGATGTGAACTGCTGCCCAGCAGTGTGATAATTGAAGAAAAGAGAAGGTTTCAGCTGAACTTGTACTGTACCAGAACTACTACAGTGGCTGTGAATCCTCTGTGTACACACACAAACACACAAATATTATTAACCAACAGAAAGCACCCTCCAGTTGTACTGACAGTATTGTCCCTACAGAAATAGTACAGTTAAATGCTGACAGAAGGCCAGTTCTGTCGTGCTTACAGTGGAGGGAAATTCTCAGGTAATAATGGGGCAACTTTTTCTTCTACTATATGGGAGTTCCAGAAGAAGATATAGAGATTTGCTCTTCCCAAGTGGGTGGATCAAAAATATTTTGCAGAGTGAACTGCTTCATCACAAGTAAGGTGCTAATTACATAACTTTATGGAATTACACTATCTCCTGTGGAGTGGATAGTCTGAGGGTAGAGAGCTTCACTCATCCACCTCTTGGATGAAAATTATGGTAGAGATACTAATGGAGACGGTTTTTGGGATTCTTTGTGTGTTTGTTGGGGTTTTTTTCTGGGGGGTGGTTGGTTTTTGTTTTTTGTTTTGTTTGGGGTTTTTTTGTTTGTTTTGGTTTTGTTTTTTAAGTACAAGAAGATACCAGTCTTTCTCCTGTGGTAGAAGTGGTATGAATGACAGGATTCTTACTACTTTAAAATATCTTTATAGTATATGGCCTTAAGACTTTTTGTTAGTTTCATTTGTTCTTTTACCATCTTCTCCCGTGTCTTAGTGGCAGCACTTAAAATCGTGTACCATCGAATGACACTGAATTATTGTGAATCTTAGAGAAATTGTTTTGAAAGCAGGGACAATTATATTATCAATATGAAGATGAAGGCTTTATCATTGTAATGTTCAGAATGGAGGGATGACAGCTGTGTTCATTCTTTCTGGGGCTAAATTATAACATGCTACAAAAACCTATTTATTGTTGAGGAGAAGAAATCCTGTTTCTCTTGTTTTGTCTTTTAAATTCCAATTTTTGTTGTGGGCTTTTGTAGCATAGATGTGCAAGTCAAGGAGAATAGGAGGGTGAATGGAAAAGATGACCCTCTCCCTTTTATCCTAGGGAATCAACTTTGAAATAGACATAGTGTGGTCAATTCCTTATTAAAATGCAAGTTGGTTTGGTTTTTTTTCCCCCTCTCTTTTCTTCATGTCTTAATGAATATTTCCCTGTGTCTGAGGGTAGTGTTAAGTAGAGACTTTCCACCTCATAAGATGCCATGCTTTTTACTCAGCACTGTTACCCATTATAGAGGGAAATGGACTTCTTTCTGCTGGTTTCATTTTGTTGCAATGCTGTATCCAAGTCCTCAGTGCTCTAACTACCTCTGATGCTATGAATGTACAGTCTTGTAATAGACCCTGACTTGAAATAACAGCAGATGCCTGTAGCAGTTTTTTTCTGTAAAGTCTTTAAATCGGCTAACTTGTCATCTTTTTTTTTTGTGACACAGCAGTATAGACTCTTCTTTTTGAGGGTATTAGTAAATTTATCCCATAGGCATTCGATATATAAAAATTTAACTAATACTTAACACTGGAATTATAATGGGTGGGGGGCTTATTCAGTTAGTTAATACCACAGATTTACATTTAATAGGGTATTTTTATTTGACTATTTTAAGACATTAGGTCATTTGTAAAAAGATCCACTACATGCTGTTCGTTTTTAATTTATTACTTAGTCTGAGTTTTCTTCTGACACTACAGATGCATCATGACTACAGAGAAAATGTACACTGAACAGTTTCAATCTGTATTATTTAAAAGGCTTTATCAGTGTACATTAGAAATACACTGTTCTTACTACTAGAACCAAAATATGTTTTTTATGGCATAAATAAGAATGGTGCTTCTAAATGCGAAATGTCCAAAACAATGGAATCTTTGTGAGTGCTATGCATTCAACTTATTTTTTAAAATAAAACTAGTTTTGAGTAAGAAGGCTCTGGTGTGTATTATGTTTTTTAATATATTTAAACTGTCTTGCCCTGTGTAAGGGCTGAAGCTGTAGAGAATTCTTTTTCTCCCTCCCCCTTGTTTTCTGTGATATATCATAAGTTTCAGGAACACTCAGACTTCACAATTGAAAAAAAAATAGGAAGGAAATCACGCAGGAAGGGGCTTTAAAACTAATTGCAGCCACAGCATATGCTAAATATTGTACACTTCAACAATGAGTCTAGTACACGGCTGTAACAAAGAAATAAAGAACAAAAGAACTTGAGTAGTTCAAGAGCCAGCGGGTGAATTCATTTTGTTCTCATACATAACAGCAACCATTAATACTGGCAATCTCAGGTTTCTAATACTAGAAATAATTTAGGAGATGTGGGAATAGCCTCTTGTCAAAAGCTACATACACTTGTGTTACAATAGCTGTGAAGACTCAGTCATGCTGCAGGCAGAATAGAATTACATGATGCATTCTAGCACAAATATTTTTGATTGTTTTGAACTTCTGATAATTGCTGCTTACTAGAAGAAATTGTTTCTTCCTAAAACCGTGCACATTTCATGTTTGTAGCAAGGCTGTGATAATGGTCTGAGTCACAAAATTTAATAAAATTGCTTAAAATTTAGCTTGTCTGAAGTTAGAAAATGAAATTGTGAGGCCTTTTAGCTTTCACCCATCTATTTTGGAATAGACTGCTGATAGTGAAAACCTTTTTGGAGGATCTAAGGCCAGAGGGAGAGCAAGCTGTACTGCATCCCTAGGGCAATGCTCTAGTGTAATGATAGCATGCATATTACATGGATACTTTGATCTGGAAAGTTTTGTCCTCACTTCTAAGACAGCAAAAGTCAAGTCTGTCTAGACTGTGGCCTTGAAATCTCAAGGTTTTATATTTTTTTCACTGTAATTACAAAATAGGAACTATGCATGACATTTATGAGTCTCCTAACAGCTATAAGGGCTGCCAAATACTTTTCAACATTTCAGTAGAAATCTTAGCTTCAGATTTGAAATTGCAAGTCTGAAGCTATTTTTGTGTTTGTACATAACAAGAAAAACCTTATCTCTGCTTCCCATGACCCAGGTTCATTATTTACTTTAAATGTGAGGATATTTATGGTCTTCCAGCATTGCAAATTTAGCTTAAAATATAAATTTTAAAGTCAACAGTTTAGTGACTGAGACATCACCAGAAATAATAACAAACTTTTTGTAACTGTAATACTGTGATTAGAATATATATAACCCAGAAAGTAATGTAGCATCTTCCTTTAATAATTTGTTCACTCCTCATTCTGAATGTTCACAGGAACAGAAGTCTTGTGAGTAGATAAAGCCTTATCTGAGTTAGTGCAAGTGCCCAGTTGGTCATCCTGTATTAAAAGGTTGTCAACAGCAATTTTTCAAAATACCAAGTAAAGCAGCAATAACAAAATGCACACTGTTATTTTTAGTCTTCATCTCAGTGGTATTTTAGAAGTTAGGGCACAAGTACAATTGTGAAACTTACATTGGACTGTTTGCTCTTTCCTGGAATTAAATGTAATGTAAGAAATTTCTATAGCTTCAATAAACAAGGCATGCATTCTGACAGAGGAAACCATTTGCTACTGAACATTGAAAAAAAAAAACCCAAGCCAAACTGTATAACTGAATAATTATTTTCTCCTTAAACACCTTTTTCTATGCACCTTCAGGTATTTAGGTATCTTCATATTTAAGAAAACAAAGAATATATGTAAAGCGTTGCTTAATAACTTTTAGAAAAATTAAAACACAAAATTGATAGAAGTAATTGAAAATTATTGTAAGCATAGTTAGGCTATGGATGTTTCAATACTCGAGCTCACCGGGTTGGGCACTTTGACACTTGCCCTCCCTTGAGTCTGACCTAGAGATTTATCAATGAGACTCCATGCAAAGAGAAGGACACGTTGTCAATGTGCCTGTTGTTAACACAATGTCATGAAAGATTTTGCCAAATGGTGTTCTGCTTTACCCTCTCCAACCACCATCAGCTGTGTTACTGAGAGAAGAGTTCTCTATTTTGTTTGTTTTCAGAACACTAACAGCAGCAAGGCTTTGCTAAGTGCTGCTGTATGCTTGGGTGGATGACACTCCAGACAGCACCACTGCAGATCTCCAGAGGTCGAGAAATTCTTCAGAAATACCACAGAGTCTGAGTTTCCAGGGGAAGTGCCTGTATTTTGGAGAGCAGTTCTATGCTTCTGACCTTGCATCCCATCTCAGT